CGGCTACTTCAGTCAGTCATATTCCATATTTACAAAACATATATATATATGTTACCAAATGAATAAGAAAACAGTCTGTCTCTATGTATATGGAAGCAGAGGGTTCCTGTGGGATCTTGTTCATTCTGTGAGTTTTTGTGACCTCTGGATAACCAGGAAGTTGTGCATGAATATGTAGGCAAACACCAGCAAGGCAGATGTTACACTTGCTGACCTTCACTCACTGAAACTGATAATCAGTTTGGCTGTCATTCATTGTCCTTTTGAGGCTTTTTCACAGCAAGTTAATGCCAAGGAGACATATTTGATCCTGCAGGTCCTGCCAGAAATTAGGTTTGGACTTGGATATTTTGGAATGAATCCGAGTCGAGTTTGACAACAAAGGGAAGGCTGCTGCAGTAACACGTGCAGATGAGACCCTTCTCAATTTGTTTGCATGCTCCAGGGTAGGGAGATATTGGGGCCCTTTTCTGGCTTTCATTCAGCTGTGGGTGTGAAAGCAAAATGTGAAATAATATTAAAAGATATAATTCATTTATTTGGACAAACTGGTCACAGATGTTGCACCTATGTAACCTAATGAATGGGCAATTGTAGTGTTTCAGTTACTAACAGGTAAATAATTAATGTCAGTGACAGAAGTCTTTTGCCTAGTCATTTGGAAATTAAAATAAGATGTGAATATACATATGAAATTGTAAGATAAATATTTTCTTATGCAGCTAATAATATCTCATACAGTTTAATCACCCACTAGCAAAAGTATACTTGGTATAAAGCAGTTTTTCTGTATTTTTTATCAGATTTTTTCAAAGCTTCTTTCTTTTTGTTTTGTTTATTTTGCAGGTGCTGCAATGGCACATATAGGTAAACAACACTGAACCTGTGTGTACTGGATAGAAGGCATGTGGCAAAAAAAAAAACAAACAACACAATAATGTTGAAGGACCTGAGCATATGAGAGTTTGTAAATCTTTAGAAACTGTAAAAAGATAATATAATATAGTTGGCTAGTGAAGTCATTGCTATAAGAAAGGTACAAATATTGACAAAAAAAAAAAGATACAACCAATATTATTTGAAAGATATAACATTGACATGTTGCATATAACAGATGAACATATTCTTTGTCCCTTCCTAAGTAAATGGAAGGTAGATACTCTTTAATTATTGCCTGTCTTTGTCAACCAGTTGTAGTATTTCAGCACTGGATAAGTCAATCACCTTATCAGCATACAAAGCAGGAGAAATAATGAAGCCCAGTTTTACTTGTAGCCTGGTTTCTATAACCCTTCAGCTTCCCTCACATGCTATCTGCTGCATCCTATTTATTTCTTTTTATTAGGTTTTAATCAAATCTATAAAACTACACAAAGTGCTGGTAATGAGAAACAACGTGATCTTTTGAAAAAAAAAAAAAAAAAAAAAAAAAAAAGGATAAAACCTTAAAGTTAATATGGAAGAATTCATCATGAATTCACAAACATATTTGGTCTCTGGATATGTAATCTGTTTAGCACACACAGTATGAAATACTGGTCATACTGATCTTAGTGTTTCTTATTAATTTTAGTGTGACTTTTATTTCACCCTACTATATGTATACATTCCAGGTAGAATTGCATGTTAATCTCTTTCTTTCTTTCTTTCTTTCTTTCTTTAGGTAGGGCGGGAGGGAGGGAGGCGGGAGGGGAGGGAGGTAGGGAGGGAGGGAGGAGGGAGGAGGGAGGGGGGGGGAGGGAGGGAGGGAGGGAGGGAAGGGAGGGGCGGGAGGGGGAGGGAGGGGGGAGGGAGGGGAGGAGGGAGGCCGGAAGGAAGAAGGAAAGAAGGAAGGAAGGAAGGAAGAGCCGGAAGGAGGAAGGAAGGACGAGAGGATAGGAGCGAGGCTAGCGAGAGTAGGACTCTAGAGTAGGTCGGAGATGCGCGTCTAGGCAGAGCGCGTCTTCTCTTCTCTTCTCTTCTCTTCTTCTTCTCTTCTCTTTCTCTTTCTCTTCTCTTCTCTTCTCTGCTCTTCTCTTCTCTTCTCTTCTCTTCTCTTCTCTTCTTCTTTCTATCCATTAGAATTTATCAGGGTGATACAAAGACATAAAACTGCCTCATAGTTCCTCTTTCCTTTTGTAAAGAAAAATTTTGATTTCAAATTATTTCAGCCATTTTTGTATTTTTATGCCTATCCTTAAGTGTATTGATAATCACAGTGTATCACCTTCAATATCTGCTTTCTGTGAAGCCATTCTACAGCCTGCCTCTGCTTCCAGTGCAAAGTCCTGCCCTGTGTTGTTTGTTTGCTTTTGGTACTTCTTCCTGAAGCAGCTTAACTTTAGATGGAGTTACAGTCAATTCCCTTCTATGAAAAGGAATAAAAAACCCTGTTGGGATGGCAATAACATGGATCTTCTGAGGTTCAGTAATGACAGAGCAGTGGTCTTGGGGATCATGTAAACAGAGACTGCAGTCTGGTCCTGCTTACTGGTTCAGCTCTACCATGGCTGCTCTAAACTTCTCCAGCACTTGACATCACACAATTCCTCTCAGACACCCAGAAACTTGGCACTATGCTGACTGTAACCTGAAAGTGAGGTCAAAACACATGGACAAGGGAAAAGAGAAAAAATTAATTGTTGGTGTAAAGCAAAGATAATGTTGGTACATACTGGAATTTAGATTACAGGGCTGTAATTTCAGCTTGCAGTTGAGGATTATACAGGACAGTTCATCAGAAAAGGTAACTTGGCCCTTCTTCAGCCTTTGGTTTTGTATGTGCTGATCTTCCAGTAACTCCCCCTACCAAGACTGTATTAAACAGCAGGTTTGGTAAAGAAACCCTGTGCACCCCTCCCCTCCCCCCTCTTTGCCACCATATTTACCTGGAGGAAAGTAATTGGAAACAGTGATTTTACCTCAAGATTATCAGGGTGATCTCTTGATTATTTTGGCTTTCAGTTGTCTTTGCATTACTTTAAAGTGTCTCTGGTAAAATAAAAGTTTGAGGAAATAACACACAATTGTGTTTTGCAAATACTGCTCTGTATTTGTAACTTACTAGATATCCTTTAATGCTGTGCTGATCAGTTGACCTATTTGTGTTATGAAGTCTTCAGGGCACTGTTTGCCTTGCCATGTGAGGTTTGCACCTTAGACCAGAGCCACAGTGAACACTGGTCAGGGCTGTTAATAGTGTAGCATGCAATTCTGATGTGGTAGTTTGCATTTGGGAGCACTCTCCACTCATATGAGTCTCACAGCCATTTGCTAACACAGGCTGTTTCTTACTCCAGTGCTTTTAGCCTCTTGTTTCCATGTCACTGCTGAGAGCAGAAATGATTTGTGTTGGTTAAAAAGGTCTTATGGATGAGAGGTAATAGTTTTCATACAAAGGTGAAATAGTATGTCACTAGTATCCATGAGTATGATTTTGACTTACAGATATATATATACAGATATATATATATATAGGGATATTTCTGGAAAGAAAACTTCCTGAAGATTATTAAGATTTGTAAAAATGAACTTTGATTTAATTACTACTATATTAATGAAAGATGCATTTAAATTATAAATACATTTTGCACAATATCATATGGGCGTAACCACATCAATTTTTTTTTATCCTAGCAAAACCATTTAAGAAGTTCAATTTACTCTCTTGTCTTTTCTGTCTGTGTGTTCTGCCTACAAAAATCTGCTGTCTTCATGGCAAATAAAATTTTATCAGTAGTACAAAACCAACCCAGAGTGATATGCAGCCACTGAATCCTCTGAATCCTTCCCTGCCTAAGACCTTAATCTTGACTTTAGAATGAACACATTTTTAAATATGGAAGACAGTTCAGACTCTGAAAGACCCTAGGGCCTTCTTCAAGATAAAATCTCAGTTTTGAAAGGAAAAGATAAAAACCAGGAAAACAATTCTGATTTTGTGCAACTGAAAACTAGAAACAAGATAGAGCAATATTGGAACATGGTAAAATTGCTGTTTAGAAAATTGATGAAAAAGAGGCTTTTCCAGGGTCTTTGTCTCAGGAAAAACAAACAAACAAACAAAACATTCAATGTTTGTTTATTATCCCCATATTATGTCTTTCAGAGCTTTTTTTTTTTTTTTTTTCTTTTCTTTTTTTTTTCCCTGGGACAGGTCAGTACTTTACACCAAGTATGAAGGTTGTACTTTACACAACATTATTGTTAGATTCACACATGCAGTTAAAAAACAAAAAATAAAAAAAAAAAAACAGTTAAGAAGTGGTTATTGCTTACAGTATTAAGTATATCAATGTAGATTAAGTAAGAGTCATAACAGTATCTGTCAGAAAATTCCAGTTTATTTGTTGAACCAAATGTCATTAGTAACTGTGACTGGATCTCTTTCCACTGGTGTCAGTGATGTACTGAAATAAGTTTTTGTGTTTTTTACTGCCAGCATGGGTCATGAGGAACCAAAGCATGCTAAGAGGGTATCTGGAAAGGATATTTCTCAGAAAGGATGAGAGGAAGGCTACAGAAGGAAATGTAAACAGGGCTGGGATAATCTCAGTTACTAAGTCTTCACCTGGTAATACTATTGAAAAATACCAATATCCTAAGAAAGATAATTTGGCACACGGGTATAGGAAGCTCTTTTGTTTTAACACAAGTTGTGTTCCGTACACAGCAGAAACATATGGGAAAGTGGAAGAGCTTTTTTCTTTTTCCTCCTCTGGTAACTTTGGGATCTAACAAACAATAGTATCAAGGGATTGCAGTCACCACAACATACCACTAGCATAACAACCTAAAAAGAAGGCTAGCCTTTGTACCTGTAGCAGAACACACTGAAAAAAGACAGCGATGCTTAAAAAGAAGATTGGAGTCATGTGAACTCAAAGGGACCAATTATTTTTTCAGCTATACTGGTCTTTCAGCCTAAAGGCACCTGCTGAACTACTCCTACTCTCATTTCAATCCAGAAAATTCACAGGTGGTTTGTGTTAGATTATGGGGACCTTCATAATCATCACTTTGTTGTTACTACTCTTCTCACTGTGTTTCAGTGTTTTGATCAGGGGACTGGTTTTGCTTATAGTCACAGATGGTTTCTGTTTGACAGGCTGACAGGCAGACAAAGTAAATAGGCATGGAAATAAAATATTCCTTTGTTTTGGTGAATCAGGCCAATGTCACCAGTTGTCATGTGGGGTAGACACTGCTTGATAATGCTTCTGGATGTGTTAGGATGGGGAGAGGATATTGTATATAATCATGCACTAGAATCTTGCATAATTCTTTCCTGGGCACAGGAAATCTTGTTGAAGATTTGATCAACAAATCTGAGTATACTGTTAAATTGCACTATTGCTTTTACATTTAAGGTGGTAAGTGGTGCCATTATATAGCACTGTGAAATTTTAAGGGGTTAGTCTGGAAAAATCCCATCTGGCAAAGATGTGCTTGATCCTGCATATCAATAGGAGGACAAATCAATAGCAGGATGAAATGCTAGATAATTATTGTGTGTCTGTGCTTATATCTATTGGCTTGCCTTTGCAGTGCATGAAAGGAATTTTGCAAAAACAGAAAAACAAACAAAAACTAAGAACACAAACTGCTTTGGTCAGCAAAGATGCAAATACTAATATAGTGTATAAACTTGTAACCTAAGTGTTATAAACCTGTTTTAATGACAACTTTCATTATTATGAAAGGAGAAATCCAATAAATCAATAAGAATTTTGAAATTGTTGAAATACTTTAGATAAAAATGGACTGTGTTATGACTTTTGTGGAAGCTCTTGGAAAAAAGTGCCATCTGGTAAGTGAACTCCCCTGAGGTAATTTTGTGGGTCTGGAAATCTGGTTTTCTCTAAAGAAATTGTTACTAATGTACTGATGTGATATGACATAGTTTCCTTTTTGGCAGGTTAGTCAGTAATAGAGAAAGTTAATGCCATAAGCCCTCAGATTGATCTTTTTCCAGTTAAATGAGGAAAAGAATCAAATAAGTATCTGGTTGACCAGGCCCAGAAAGGATGATTATATGACAAATCTCTCATTCTCCTTACATATAAATTAAGGTGAGCCTAAAGCCGTATTTTAATTGAAAATAATGAAGGTATCAAAACAATAGATTTTGTTTTACTGACAGATGGCATACTGAAAGACAGGCTTTATTTTTTTATGTTCAATACTTGAAATAAATGATTTGGTTAATATACGTTGCTCTTAGGCTGCAGTTCTAGATGAGAGCCTTTATGTGAACCCTCACTACAAAGACCACACCTGCCATCAGTTTCTATCTGGGGGTAGCATTGGGCCTGATGCTTTTTTGTGCTAGGCATTCCTGTGATTTGTAGACCCACACCACAACCTTCAGCAGGGCTGATGAGCAGGCAGGTGGTGTGGCTAGCTGCTGGCACCCTATGGTACTCATAGGGAGCAATTGGCCCTGCATGGTGACGTGGGGCACAATGCTGCTGGTGCCTGGGTTCTGTACCCACACGGCTGTGTTCTGGAAAGAAAACCAGCCAGAAGATTTCAGCTTGCTCCAAGATGGAAGTCACAATTCTGCCACCACCTTGAGGGTGTTTTCCTTCAGGTTTTGGCTTGGTTTGATGGCTTGGATTTGTTGATGTTGGTGTCCAAAGACAGTTTGCAATAATGGTGATTGTTTTACAGTTATTTTACAGATATTACAGTTTTTAAATTGAAATTGCTTTCTTTTGTAGGTACAAGAAGTCAACAAACTATATTTAGTTTAACAAAATATTAAGAAAAAATGTGTAAAAAATGCAAATTTTTGTTTTAAAATATTTAGTAACATCAGTACAATCTGAAAATTAACACTGTGCATTTTTATGGATAACTTACTTTCAGTAGGATAAATGCATATTTCTGGGTTAAGTAAAATTCTGTGTCTATAGTGGAAACAATCAAAAATCCAGAAAGAAATAAGTATTTCCACAAAAGAAATGGTTTGTTGTTTGTTTCATGGAGAAAAAAAAAAAAAAAAAAAGAATTGGGAAAGAAGAGCAAGTAGGAACTCTCATGAAGAAATAACCACCAATTGTATTATAAGAGCACACAAAAGTACACGTGAAGTGCTTATAATGAGATTTATGGATTGTTTCCAATGTATTCAAAGTAGATGCTGATGTTCTTTTTTATTTTATTTATTTATTTATTTATTTATTTATTTATTAATATTAAGTATTAAAAAAAAAAAAAAGAAAGGAGAAAAAAATATTAGAAGGCAGATCTGTGTAGTAATGAGTACCTGAAAACAGGATTGATCTTGATTAAGTCAATCTCAACTGGAAAGATTTTTCTTTTTGTTTGTATCTGCATTAAATTCTGTTCTATTTTCCATCAGGTTCTGTTCTCCCAGAATTTGCAAAAGGCTGACTTTCTCACTTTTTTCATCCGTAAGTTATGAACCAAATAGTATATCAGAATACATTTGAAAACTTAAAAAGTTTTATTATTGAATTGTGTTATAAAATGAGACTTGAGGTTTTTCTGAGAGATTTGTGAAAGTTGAAACAGGTATACTATCATTCGTGTAGGCTCATGCTTGTTTTCAAATAAAATCACAATTTAATTCTGTTTGCTGCAGCCTGTCATCTTTATCTTATGTCAATGATAACTTCTCAGGCCATCTTCTGATGAATCTTAGAGACTCTCTATACTACACATCTTCATAGATTAGTGAGATAAACATACTGATACAAATATTTCTGGTATATGTCCCATGCTTTTTACTATTTTTGGCACCAGAGCAGTTTCAATATCTGTATCTAATTTTCTTGCACTTACTTTCCATAAAATTTATATACATCTATATATTTTTCAAAATGAAAATAAAGTCAAATAACTAAACCACTTTTATTATTTAAGTTTAAATTATGACTAGGCTGTTACTCTTGCCAGTAGTAACAAAAGTTAAGTGCAAATACTGAAAATTAAAATATCATCCATCTACAATTCCTCTGTTCCTCTGTAGACATAATAGTTGGTGGTGGTGGTGGTTGTTGTTGTTGTTGTTTTAATTTATCTTAGTTAATTTTTTCACTTTTCTCCCTGTGTTTATCGCTTTAGGAAAAATCATGGGTAAACATTGTCCCTCATTTTAGAGAACTGGAAATCAAAAAAATCATTCAGCTTGTATCTTTGCATTAAATCAAACTTGAAATAATTTATCCTTCCCATGAGCTTTGCAGATACACAGATCTCATTCATGCAGCTTCTGTGCAACTGGCACAGCTTTCATTTGATTTGGTTATCCATGTGTTTCTGCATGCTCACATTGGATCCCAGGCCTAATAGAATGCATGGCATGTCCTCATGATGTTTCAGATACTCTGGGTAAATCAGATCATTAAAATACAGCTTAACCTCATGAATCACCCTATATATATATGTATATATATAAATATTTATATATATAAATATAAATATATAAATATATACATATATAAATTTATATAAATATATAAATATTCCTTTTGAAAATTGAAAATGGACAGATTTTTCTGTAACAACTTCTACATTATATACATTTTTATATAAGACAGTATGTATGCTGTGTTTGACATGTTATTCCCTAAAACTCACAGTTTTGACTTATCTTTCTGCAATTTCATTTGGGATTTAATCTGGGGGAAGGGTCATCTTTTTGTGTTTTGTTTGCACACTGGTCTGCGCAGAGGCCAGACGGTTGGTTGGGACTCCTTGTTGCTATTGTTGCACAAATAGGTTTGGTTTGAAATTGAATCATCAATAGAAAAATATTTATTGTGAAGTTTCCCAGTTTTCATCTGTTAATACCTTGGTCACTAAATGTATAAAAGAATTAAATAAAATTTGAAGCACATACTGTGATAAAGTACACGTAAGTATATTTATGTTTTCTGACAGGTGAAACCATCTTTTGATTCATCTGAGCCTAGATTTCGGTTGTTGAAGCCTATCTACGGGCAGGAGGCACCTCAGAGCCAAGCAAAGTCCAGAGTCCCTGGCACTTCATATACTTTGGATGTTCTTCATTAAGACACGCAATGATGTTGCTTACATGACCGATGAGTTCCCTTGCCATTTAGCAAGGATGTAGATGTCACCTTTCCAGAACAAAGGCAACGTACAATTTCCTAATATCTGCAGGAAAGAGGGACTGTTCCTTAGCCTCTGCTTTCACTGCCCACCTCAGGACAGATTGCTCCTGCCTCAGTGGTGTGGTGGGAAATCTTCTTCCTAACAACTGAGGGCATAGCCCAAGCCTGGTCTCATGCCACAGCTTGTTGGGGCATGCTTTAGTGTCCTGATTCCTGTTTCTCTAGAGTCTCTTGTTCATCCTCTGTCTATTTTATTGGCTTATCTCTTTATTTTATTTTGTAGGAATTGAGGTGCCTGCAATTGAGGGCACCAGGATGCAGCAGATATGGGTCTCCGGTAAATATTCATTTCAGGCTTAGAATGAATGAATCTTTCCAAAGACTTCAGATATTATTTAGAAATCAACACCAGTATCATATATTTCTCAATTGAGCTACTGGTTTTCATTAGGCTGGAAAACTCTTCTGTTGCTTGTTCATGACGCAGTTCATACTTGACCTTACTCTATTGCTGCATTTAGTTGCTCACTGGGCAAGACTTTAATCCCCTACTAGCAAACTGAAGTCATATCAACACTCAAATGCTGCTGTGATCTGTTGCTACGTTATCAATGTGAATAGAGTCTTGCTCCCTGACCCTTAGGCCAGCCCACGGAGATGTACTACATGGACATACACATTCTGCCTACATGCAGTTCATGTAGAATAGCAAGCACTAGGCAGCACCCTTGAGATTACTTGCAGAGCAAACAGAAATATTCATACAAAAGAATGAAGATTGGGGCTGCTTTTTCACATCAGTACTTCTGCTTTAAAATAACCACATTCTCTCTATATATGAAATGATTGGGCCAGCCCAGTAACAGAGAGGAAGTTTAGCACAAAAAAAAAAAAAAAAAAAAAAAGCAGTTTAAAAAAATATAGATGACAGAGAAAAGGAGAGGATTACTTACAGCTTCACTGAGCCTTGAACAAATGCAAACACAAGCATGAAGAAATAAGATAAAACAGAAAGATACAAGCCCTGTACTTTGTAGATCACCATGAATTTCTTCAGGTCTACACCTGACTTTAAAACAGCTGTAGACCTCAAAAGCATTTATGAATCTAGGGTGTGAAGTGCTGCATTCTCTAAAAGATGAAGAATAGAAAAACACAATAAAAGCCAGAATTTTAAATAGTAAATTCAACAGGAAGGAGAGAGAGAAAGAAATCTAAATGAAAATTTGTTCTGGACAAATATTTGACTTCTAATAATTTTAATTACACATCAGAAAATACACTATCAATTTTCAAAAATATAGAAATGGTGTGGAAACCTGATTGGAATATGTTTGTCAGGGAAGAGAAGGTCAGATCTGAAATATTTTCTATTGATTTTATGCCAAAGGTAGTTTTTCTGGATCTCAGACTGCATACCTATACAAAACATGGTAAGAAGACTCATCAGATTCCTTTCAGAAAGAATATCTCCAGGAATAACTCTACAGTGCTATCCAATTAGCCTTTTTGTAGCTGCAAAAACTATTCACAAAAATAGCTCACTGGGTTCATGTGCATTGAGCAGTTCAAATGAAAAATCATCAGTGGAACTGAATTAAAACCATAGAGCCAAGGGCTCTTCTGGTATAAATCACGTGCATTGCTATAATAAAACAACATGTAACAGAAGCAATTCTTCACACCACTAAATTTTGGCATTGGAGTTGGTCCCAGAATCCAAATCTTGCTGCTTCAGCTTCCATATTTTCTTAACATGTAGGAAAACCTAAACTGCAATGTGTTGTAATCATTTTGTGACATTTGTGAATAGAATGTATATAACTTAGGACCTAAAAAAAACCAAAACAAAACAAAACAAAAAAAAAAACACAAGTGGGATTTATCTTTTTTTTTTTTTTTTTTTTTTTTTTTTTTAAATGGTCCTGACCTTGCCACTAAATGCCATTTTCTTATCTGTATAATAAAGCAGAGGTATTGTGCCATGTCTTGATTTTACCAGTTGAAGTCTTTCTTTTTTCATAATCATAAAATATATGTCAAGCACCATGAGCAACTCCTTTATGCCTTGCTTGCAGTGCTGCAATTAGGATCATACTGTGTCATATTCGAAGCTCAGTGACTGTTAAACGTGCTATACCCGCATCACACTAACTACTGTATCAGTCATTTTAGATGACCCCCTTGAAAATTGCTGCCAAACGTTTATATGTCAGAAATCACTTTCAAAATGCTTATGAAGTGAAGAATTTTCACAGCTCTTTACCTACTCAAATACTAAAAACTGTCAGTCAATGAAATCAGGCACGACAGTTTATATTCTAAGACTCACTATTCAAAGATTTGCTTGAACAATTATTCCTATCAGCTGTCAGCAATTGGGTTCTGTGTTAGGCAGTTGCTCACCTTTATATTGTAATAACCATTGGAAGCTGCTGCAAAAGATCTGCCAGAACACTGAGTATTATTTTTAAATGGGATGAGTCAGGGATGCGTACATCAGCATTACAGCATTTCAGTTTTGCCCACAGCGAGCTGCAGACTCAGTCCTGTTGCCCAGGTGTGTGGCTGTTTTCATTTAGAGCTCTATACTGTTTCATCAGTGTTTTCAGTCCCAAGTGAAAACACAAATATGAAGCCGGTATTGAAGACAGGAGATTATTTAAAAATCAGTTAAAAATTGATTGTATTTTTACAGATGGGAGTTTGCTTAAGAGTTAATTAAGTTTTAAGAACTTGAATGCTAAAATTATCCTATAGTTCTGTTACTAAGGATGAGGTTTGATTTATGACTGAAACTCTGTTTATCTTTTTAATTGTCTAGAAAAACATCCAAAATCTGTTCTGCTGTAAACAGGTCTTTAGTAACATGGCTGAGGTCCAAATCTAAGCCTAGAGAACCTATAGACCAGAGATTCTGGTAGGAAATAATATTTTTTGCTAATATTTCAGTGCTTTTTCATTTGATAATACCTGTATAGCCACCAATATAGTGGTGAGAGTCAATATTTTGAATGAACTGATATTAATTAAAATTGACTCAGTTTTATTTATAAGTTTAATGCTGGATCAACACTGTTACAATGAATAGCATAAGTGCAATAGGATTTTTTCTATCCTACAGCCAGCTGGAATAACCCTTTCTGTTTCATCAAGTCATCAAAAATCTCAGTTTCATTGAACAATTTCTTCAATAATACTGGTTCTTTTCAGGTAAGGGATCTTAGTACTTGGGATTCAGAAAGCAAACTTATCACTGTCTAAGGTTATCAACAGATCCAATCCAAGAGAAGTGTTCAGAGAATAATAAATGTATGTGTCTATGTCTGGGTTCTTCACAAAGCAAAGTCATAAAATAATCTTACTGTAGTCATCTGTATTTTCATAGAATCATTAGGTTGGAAAAGACCTTTAAGATCATCTGTTCCAACAATCCCCCTACCACCAATATCTCCCACTAAACCATGTCCCTAAGCACCATGACCAACCTCTCCTTGAACATCTCTAGGAACAGTGACTCCACCACCTCCCTGGGCAACCCATTTCAATGCCTGACTACTCTCTGAAAAGAATTTTCTCCTCATTTCCAACCTAAACCTCCCCTGGTGCAACTGAAAGACAGATTCAGTGCTGTCATTCATGTTCTCTCCCTTCCTTTCTTTTCAGGAGATCCCTCAAGTTCTAGGCCCAGGGCGTGACTTCATGTGCTCTCCTAGGAGGAGGAAAATTCAAATAGAAAGGTGGATATCTCTGTTCCTGTTGTGTTATGCTGCTATTTTCCTGATGGACAAACTATGGCTGAAATAGAACTAAGAAAGGTTTCTTCCTCTTTTAATGCCATGTTCTCTTGTGAACTCCGTTCTGTAACCTCAGGAGACTACCAGATCTTTCAGAGCAGTTCTGTCTCCTCCTGCAAGGAGATGCAGTTTCCAAACATCTTCCCTCATTAATGTGTGGTAGCAAACAAGTCTTTGCATGTAAGGTGTAAGATATATCATAACATTTCCTGTTAATATAACAGTGACGAGAATGTGTATATGTTTCCAGATATATTTAGACATATGAATATTTATAGACATAACAATATACAATAAGACAACAACAACAAAAAAGAACCCTATCTGACATTAAGTTATTGAACAAGCCATGCATAGGAGAGGCAGTGACCAGATCTTCAATGACTTTCATGGGCTTTCGACCAGGTCTTCCCCTAAAAAACAGCTTTTGAGATTCTCTGCTGGGTACACTGAGTTCTGGGAATTAGATTGCCATTGGATGAGAGAAAAAAAAAATAAAATCTGTCTACTCTTGTTTTTCTGTAGTCTGGTAAGGAGCCTTTTTGCTGTCTGGCCTAGCCATTTTAAACACCAAACATTTGGATGATATTTCTTTAACTTTGGCCTCATTTTCCTGGCCTGTCACAGTGTATTAGCTATCAGAAAGACTCTAAAACACAGGCATCCATAAGGAGAATTTATCTAAGAACAGAGCCAGTGTATATATAACTTCATGACATGAAAATCTATTGTACCCAATGTTCAATGTAGATATCCCTTCCTTGGCATACTATATCATGTAACCTTTTATTGCAGGCAAAAGATACTATGACTTAGTCCAAAACAAAGTAAAGGCTACTTTCAGATGTTTGTTACCCATATAAAAACATCTAAAATAAATCTAACATAAAAGGTGACTGCTAAATTAAGACTGAATGAGATTAGAGTAGAATGTCTTATTGGTCAGTAGTGACAAATATGCTTGGGATTTGGTGAAATTTGATTTAAAATACCTTAGTTTGATACCTGTATCAAATACCTTAGTTTGACTTTAAGGTTTTGAGGATCTTGACTACTTTGAGTGGTTCCTTGTCAAGAAAATAATACAAAAATAATTAGAAGTTTGAATCTAACTAAAATTGGACTCCCTGAGCCACTTGTTATCTACCATTACTGAAGTGATAAATTTGCTTGGAACACAGGAATCATTTTACACTTTTAAGATGCTTTTCAGAGAATAATGTGCCAAGTACATAATGGAAAGATGTGATACTGTGTATCCCCCAAAGTACACAGAGCAATTATAACTCCAGTATGAAGACCATCAGCAGCCCTAATCTTCAGGCTAGAACAGACTTGCTTGAGAATGTATTATTAGGATAACAAAAGAAGGTCAGTGGTGTTGATGAATAATTTTGCCATGAGTAGCACAGGTTATTCTGACAAATAATTTTTTTCTAGCTGGAAGTATACAAGGTAAAAAAGCAAGCCTTAAATAAACAGGGCTAATTTAAGAATAAGAACTACAATATTATTAACAAAGATGGTCCTTCAGGAAGAAAAGTACTATCAAAACAATATTTACTGCATTGTCATTCTAACTACAGGGTTATTTTATCTTTTGTTGTTTTTGTGATCATACCCCAGTAGGGATCATCTCTGAGCTATCACTGATCCCTAAGTGGAATGCAATTCTACTTGTAATTCTTAAGGCAATTTGGTGTGTGAAATCCCTGGATCAGTTCAAACACCTGCAGCTGCTTCATGACCAACAACAAGAATGGTGACCAGACAGGCTTCTCAAAGTATTTAACTGTGGGACCACAATACACTAACAAAGGGAAGTTAGTAACATCTACATTCATGGTTATTTCACTTGTGTATTTCTCCGTTTTCTTGGAACCTAGGAATATGGACTTCTTTATAAACTGTAGCAGTGGTCTTTATCTGAGTACAATTTCTGAAGAGTTACTGCTTTTGTTCCCTTAAGAAAAGTCTACTTTTTAAACCTTTAAGCTTGAAATCCTTTGACTTCTCATTTTCTCTGTGACTTTCCTTTTTGACAACCTGGTCTGGTGAGTTCAACAAGGGGTCAGCCATTGTATCAAGTGTTGCTAGATGGGTAGTTATCTGAAAGCATTGCAT